GTATGTACAGCTGAAAACCCTGGACATTATGTATAAAACAAACATAAGAAGATTCTGAAAGGAGGGGCACCTGGGTGGCTCAGCTGGTTGGGTGACTGATTCTTAGTTTCAACTCAGGTTATGATCAGTCAATCAATCAATCAATCAATCAATCAGTAAGATTCTGAAAGGTGGAAAGAAGGCAGGTCAGCTAGGAACTCAGGACCAGAAGAAAGACATAGTAGTGAATTTTCTGGATTTTCTTTTTCCTCATAGATCTCTGACTAGGTACTAGGTACTCCTAAGCTGGCAACCCAGAAATGCCAATGGCCATGGGCCAGTGGAGGCCATGTAGGAAGTTTGGATCCCAGGATCCCACCTTCGGGGTCACTGGAGGGCACGTGGGGAACAATTGTGAGGTGTCCCTGCACATCTACCTGAATCTGGCAGTAAGGAGGCAACAACCTCCCTTGCCCTGAGGCAGCATTGTCAGAGAAGGCCTGCTAAAACACAACCTTTTAAGATGAGCCAGTCTTTTTAATATGATACCCAAAATGTCTGGGTATTAATGGAAAATCATTCCAAGGAAGATCTCAACTTGAATGAGAGAAGACAATCAACAGATGCCCATACTGAAATGACGCAGATGTTAAATTATGACAAGGATTTTGAAGGAGCCGTCACAAAAGTTCAATGAACAATTATGAACATGCTCCACAAATGAAAGAGCAGCAAGGCTCATCAAAGAAATCGAAGCTACAAAGAAAGTCAAATGCAAAATTAAAACTGAAACATACATGGGCACAATCCGTGAACTTGAGGATAGAACATGAGAAATTGCCCAGTCTGAACAACAGAGAAAAAAGACTGAAAAGATAAAAAGCCTTAGGGACAAGTGAGACTGCAACAGAGGATCCAACAACTGGGTCACTGGAGTCCCAAGAGGAAAGGAGAAAGGGGATGGGGCTGAAAGAGTATTTGAAAAAATAATGGCTGAAAATTACCTAAATTGGGGAAAAGACATAAACCTACAGGTTTAAGAAGTTGAGCAGACCCCAAACAGGACCCAAACATATTCATGCCAAGACACATCATAGTCAACCTTCTGAAAACTAAGAACAGAGAGAAAAATCTTGAAAGCAGCCAGAAAGAAGCGATGCAGGAAATGCACAGATTTTGGACATTAGAGGAATGGGTGGGTTACCAGCACTTCTTGTTGATTTCAACTCTTAGTCTTTTGCCTTTGTAACTGAACTTAACTGAGCTAACATGCACAAAGCATTTACTAGACATCTATAAATTATGCTGGCACTTGAGGGACATATGTCAATCTCATTCCTCCTATAACTGCTCCACAGATGTTATCCAACAGAGCAAATCAAGAAATTCCAGAATTTGAAAGAATCTCAAAAAAAAAAAAAAAAAAAAGACAAGCACAGTAATTTTTAATTTGGGATTTCTTGATGGGCTTCAGCTCTGTGCACTACTCGAAATTAATCGAAGAAATGCCAGCATGTATGTGCATTTTTCAAAGGAAAAGGACCATGGTTTTCATCAGATTCTCAAAGGAGCTGGTGGCCCTAAAAAGATTAAGAGCCACTGTTAAAGTTTCTGTTCTTTTCAGGCTAAGCCATATAATCCAACCTAGGTAAAAAAGAACCTAAAAATAGAGAAGGTATTCCTCATTCTGTCAAAATTCCTGAATGCTACCTCTTGATAATTCTCTACTTTTAAGGGAAAAATAAGAAAGGGGCAGTTTTCTAATTCCTTCTAGGCACTTCTGGAAATACACTGTTCATTAAAGAATGTTTGCCTGTAGTCTTATTTCAATCATTTTAAAAATAGTACCTGGAGGTGACTAAATGACTAACACGCTGGGATTTAAAATGTACTTTAAGTTTGATTTCTCGCAACGCCAATGAAAAAGTCCAGTTGTATAAAGAAGAATCAGCAGCCTCTCTATGCCAGTATCAGTAGGCTGGTTTATGAGCGAAGATAAACTGTTCTACAATCTGCATTCCTTTTTCCACCTTTCAAAAAAAAGGGCATGTAAAATTAAGTTCTTTTAATTACACAATGTGTAACTGTCAATTTATCTGAACAAAAAATGTTAGTGCATTCTCATGTGAAAAAATAAAACAGCTATGACAAAAACAGATCTATTTAGTTTCTGTCTGTACAGTGTGGCTGTCCCTCACTTCTTGTACCTTCCACCCAACCCCTTCATGCAAGCCAGGTGAGTTCACCTGCAGGATTGCACTATAAAACAGGGTTTTAGGTTGCTACTGCCTGTTTTCTAATCAAAATTAAGACCCCCAATGTCACCTGGAGAGCAAGATTGGATAATGCATTATTTCAGTAAAAAACTTGATTATCTGCTTCCAGTAGGACCTCATGTAGTTTGATTTACTCAGACTATTCTCTGCTGGCTTGTATCTACAGAATCAAAAGAATCACATAGAATTCCAGGGCCCAACCTAAAATTACCACAATGCAACTAGGAGAAAGATTTGGGAATCTGAAAGTTTTTCCAAGTTCTTCAGGTGATTCTTGAGTTCAAACAGTTTAAAACAGTCTCAAACTTGAATATGCACACAAATGATCCTGGGCTCCTGAAACAAATGCAGATTCTGATCCGATTGGTCTGGACAGGGTCTGAGATTCTGCATTTCTAACAAGTCCCCAGATGATATTGCTGGTTTGAGGACACTTTGAGTAGTAAGATCAGAGAGGGTATGTTTCATCTGGTTAGTGTGTAAATTAGTATAGGCCATTACCTTTTCCTTCTGTATCTGTGGATTCTCTACCAGGGACTTCTACCTTGATACTGCCATTTCTCACTTATCACTGATAGTGTTTCTATAAGCTAGTGTGATCACTTAAGGTAAGGCATTCTGCCACTAAGCTGACATAAAAGTACATACAAAGATAAAAACAACCTGAAATAAACAGAAATGAACATCACACATTAACTTACAACATAATGGGTTTATATTTAATATAGTACTTCCCACCATAGAGATGTTACTCAGTTAATACAAAGGTTTTTTTTAACATTAAATTTCTCCATTTCAATGTCAATATATTTTTTTACATTAAATATTGTTTCCATTTTAACATTAGATACATTGAATACATTTTTCTTATCTCCCCCAAGAAATAAAAATTTTAATTTCTGACCGTATTTGATATTAAGTTGGGAGTTAACAAAACAAAATCTAATAAAAATATGGAGAAAAGACTCCTCAGTGATAGAGGAATTGGCAATTTCCTAGGATTTTGGGCAAGGGTTTCCTTCTTCCTATCTCATGCACTTTGAGAATTCCAAGAAACTATGAAATAATATGTAAATTTCAGTCATCTGACTTCTTTGACCCTCTAACTAGCATATATGAATTATAGACTGCTTTTTTCAGTGCATTATTTATTGTGAAGAAAACTTTTTTTTTTCCCATTTAACATATTATTAATTTGTTCCCACTTACAGGGAGACAAGAATGTGAAAATACCCTATTTCTTGGGAACTTTTAGACATTAAAGCTCAGTTTTTAACCTCAATAACACAAAGGTTTTCCAGGCAAGGTGTGATGCACAAGGCCCATCAAAATCACATTTGTCCATTCCTCTTTCGTGCATATACCCCCAAACAAGCACAAATGCCTGTAATGCTGAGAGCCACACCTAACAAGAGAGCGATTGCATCTCCAGCTTCTACTGCTTCAACAACAGGCAACACCAAAAGCAGTGAAATGAGGACCAAGAGCAACTGTGTTGAGACTGAGGTCATGATGTTGGGATCTTCAGGTATCTGGATCTTGAGGGCTGAAGGTTTCTAGAAATCAAACATGGAAACAAAAAGGAATCATTAAAAATTCCCACCATTTCAGTATGGATACATAAATAACAATCCACACACCTTTCAAATTTAAGTTTCAGACCCATCTCCTCATTTAATGGTAGAAAAAAACAGGTTAAGTTTATAAAAGGTATTTAAAGATGGGGGCGCCTGGGTGGCTCAGTCGTTAAGCGTCTGCCTTCCGCTCAGGTCATGATCACAGGGTCCTGGGATCGAGTCCCACATCGGGCTCCCTGCGCGGCAGGAAGCCTGCTTCTCCTTCTCCCACTCACCCTGCTTGTGTTCCTGCTCTCGCTATCTCTCTCTGTCAAATAAATAAATAAAATCCTTTTTTTTTTTTTAAAAAAAAGGTATTTAAAGATGGTCATTTGAGGCTAATTTCCCCTTTTCATAATAATTCCTTGACTCCAGCAATTTTTCCGCACTCTATCATGCCAACACCATGTGAATCAACTAAGCAAATGAACAGAACATAATTAAGAACAAAGAGAAAACACACAAGACACTCGTAAACTTAAAATACCTTAGTGAGTAAAAATTGCATTTTCTTAGGATTTCTCCCATCCAGGAAATGCAGACAAATCTGGCAAAAGTCACGCAAGATGTAAATCTGTGAACTTGTGGGGAATTAGTAAAACTTACCAAAAAAAGGATTTACGTATAATTCTGATTCGAAATAGTCCCTTCCTGGAGTTCCGGATCGCTGAGGCTAAGAGGTTCCACGTGACAGAGCCTATTATCAGAAGAGGGTAGGATTTAAGAACTACTCACCATCACCATCAGCAGCATTATTATTTTTAAGGAGACAGCCAGAGTCAGTGCAGAGCGAAGAGGTCGTACGGAAGAGAGAGGAATGGATAATAACTGGAGAAAACAGTTTGTTCAAGCAGGGGAACTAGACTTAAAGTTGGTCAGTTTGCCCGCCCAGGAAAACCTAAAAATAAATCGAACCCAGAGACAAGTTCGTGCCATGACTTGATATTAAGATTTTAAAAAGAACCCCTGCTTTGTCCCGGCGAGCTGCAAATATGACCCCTGTTTTACAAATACACTGAGGCAATCTTAAGTATCCTTTGGAGCGGAGATCGTACCTTACCTTCCCGGAAGCAGCCATTAGAGGAATGGCGAAGAGGGCGGGGTCTCCAAACTACACTTCCCACAATCCACGCTGCCGACGACTCCCAGGATGCGCCGGAGCGCTCCCCTGTAACTGGCTGAGAGAGTGACGGGCACGCTGCACGGGAGAAGAGGAGGAGCGAGCTTGAGGGGCTTCCTCGCACGGCGCAACGTTTTACCGGTAAAGTGTCTCAGTGTCATTGTACAAACGCTCTCTCAAAAATGAGTTAAAGAAATGACAGCAAGTGACTTTTACCCTATTTAAGGTTTTAAGACACACAAATAGTTATGTCTTTTCTTCGACTGAAATGAAGACACAACAGCGGGAAGATACCACCCGGGCACAGCCATCTGTTTCGGATTCTTTTTAAACTAGCGGCTTCCAACATTCCGAAGCCGGGAATCCCCTGTCACCATCTTCCAAATGTGCCTTGTGACGTTTTGTTCATTCCTTTTAAGCAATGGGGAAAACACGTTTAATTAGACATTTTGGAAAATGTTAAAACCATTTGTAGGGAAACACAGAGTTTAGGAAAAATGGTTTGAAGGAAGATCTCTTTTATTCGGGTTCTGGGGTTGTGAGAATCCCCCTTAGTTCAAGGGTGCAGTGTGTGTATGGCCCACTTAGTGATTTCTTCTCAGTCATGTTTTTATGATACCCACCCTATCTGCCCCCAAATATTTATGAAAAGATGTGAAATTATTACTTTTAAATATTAAGTGAATTATTTGCATATATAAGTCAACCCTTTCTGAAAGGCACTCTTGAAGTCCAATATCTGTGAAGTCTTTAATCGAAACTTTGCCTAGTCACCCAGTTTTCTGAATTCTCATTTACAGATTCGACAGTTTATTTGACACCCTCAGATTGTAAGTTATTAGTGATGTGGATTAGGGATAAAGTCACTGCCCTGTCAGAATCAGTCTCTCAGAGCAGGTACATTCAGCTCAGTGCCCATAATTAGCATGTAATCTTGTACCTTATCTTTTTTCATAAATGTTACCAATCTCTCTAGACTGACAGCAAAGCTTTATATTCTTGTCTCCTAACAGGCACCCAGCAATAGAGTTGGCTAATCGTAATTATTTGAATAAATACATGTGCCAACAAGATTTCATGAGACAAAGAAGTGCCAAAAAAACCAAACGAAGGTCTTTTGCATATTGGAAGTCTGAGGATAACTACACAGTAATATTGTTAGCGTTGCTTCTTTAAACTTGATTGTTTTAACAAAGTTCTGTCTTTGCCTCATTTGCTTTGAACTTTTAGTTTTGTACCTTTCTAATCAAGTATATTTGAAATATATTACAAAATATTCTCTTGTATTTTAGTGTGAACATTTTGGGGATTTTATTTTTCCCTTTATGTTTATTTGTTAGCTAAAGTTAGCAGAGACTACTTTAAAGTTAGTGTTATTACAGGCTTGTTTCTAGGTGTGTCAACTTTGAAGATAGTGGTTTGAAGTTTGAAGAGTCTGTGGATGGTAAAATGCTTTTTCTTTAAAATGTTAAGATGTCAGTTAATGACCTGACTCATCTGAAATAGAGTGGCAGAAGTTTGTGCAGGGGTGTTTTGGGCCCAAGTAGTTTTAAAATAAATTTGGTTAGCTTTCTCTAACTAGCACCCACCCCACTCAGGCAATTTAATAAAGGTATTGCTATATATGCTTTTGTGTGCCTTATCCCAGTCCTAGTATCCAAGTTGTATGGTATCCTATTTCTCAGTTTTTTCTTACTACCCTAGTGATTAAAAAAATTAATCACTTATTCCTTTGCTTAAAACTCTCCAGTTTCAACACATTAAGCTGAAGTCCAGACTCTTTATCTAGACTCACAAAGCTCTATACATTCTGGCCTCTGCTTCTCTCATGTCAATCCCTCACTCACCCATGCTTATTCCATTCCAATGACATTCACCTGTTTGCTGTTTCTTAAACATGCGAATTTTGTTGTTTCCTATTGAATTTGCCCTTGCTTTTGTCTCTGCCAGTAATACTTTTCCTACCGACTTCTTAATGGCTGTTTTCTCAAGGTTCTGCTTAAATGTCACCTTCTTCCCTGAGCACCTCACAGAAGATATCTCTCCCATTGCTGTCTATCCATTTTCTTGCCTTATTTTTTCTTCATAGTGTCTATCATTAACTGAAATTATATTATGTATTTGTTTATATGTGTAGTAGGTAAACAAATACAAGTAAAGTGAAAATTCCATGAAGGGCAGGAAATATTCCTGTCTTATTCATACTGAGTTCCTAGCTACTAGAACAGTGTCTAGCATGGTAGATACTTCGAAGGTATTTTGTGAATGAATGAATATTAGTATAAGACTACAATTTGATTAATATTTACTTACCTTTATACTGTTGATGGTAGAAACTACCTTATATGTAGGAAATCAGCTTCTGGGCTAAAGTATGAAGATACTTGATGATCTAGACTGAGCTTACTTTGAGTTTTCATTCAAAATTTGGTCTTACATATTTCCCCATAGTATTATTAACAAGAATTTACATTTATGTATACATAAGATACAGTAGCATCTAAAACAAGAACGTACTTTGTTCAGGAACCTGTCTATATTGGTCCCTACTTACTTCCTCTCCACTTGAAGCATCAGGATTTTGACAACAAATGTTGATTAAATCTACCTGGATCATGTATTTTTTCCTTAACAATACTGGAAAGGTTTTCTTTAAGTACCGCTTAATGTTGGATGAACAATATTGGCATTTTTGGCGAGACAGTACTTTGCTGTGCAGACACAATACTGCGGGATGTCTAGCATCCCTAGCCCGTGCCCAGTAGATGCCAGTAGGATCCCCCAGTCACGAGGACAACCAGCTGCTCTCACACATTGCTAAATACTCTTTAGTTGTAGATACTGTTCCTAGTTGAGAACCACTCCAGATTTCATGAACAAAATGAAGGGTGTAGTTGAGAATGAAATGAAACCCAACAGCAAAGAGTTCACACACACGTGTGTGTGTGTGTGTATACACACACAAACATATATACAAACACCCCAACACTGCAGTGTCTTAATGATTTAGATCCTTTTCCTTTAAATATGCTGGTTTTATGCTTTTTAAAAATATGCTGCTTATGCTTTATTTACAGATTCTTTTCTTTTTCCTGTCAGCATCTCTACCAGACAGGTTCCACTGGTCACTTTCTTATAACAGCACTGATATGTAGATTGAAATGAGATTTCTGCTTTTATATCTGCCACTCAGCTTAGTCTTTAAGCTGCAGAGAGCTAGTATGCTATAGTTTAAGGAATATTAGTTTTTTCCTTGGTGGCTTTGTGGATTTGGGTATTTATTTACTCTCTTTGAGGCTTAGTTTCCTTTTACAAAATATGTTTTGAGAAGATTAAATGAAATATTTTCAAAGTGACCGAAAAAGTGACCAGGGATCAATACTCCTCAATTCCCCCTTTAATTGTATTTCTATATCGCTGGCTAATGATTAAAAGTTAAGGTTTCTGGGTCAGACTGCTTGGTTGGAATTCTACTTCTGCTGCTTACTAGCTGTATGACAATACGAAACCTTTCTAAGACTCAGCTTATCTATCTATAAAATTGGGTATAGTAGTATCCACTTATTATGTATAGTAGGAGGATTAAATGAATTAGTTCCTGGAATTAGTAGCTGGCATGTAGTAAGCCCTCATTGAATAGTAACTATTTAATTTGCTACTATTTGCTATTAATCAAATCCACGAAATATGAGGTCTCTATGATGTGGTCTCTGTCCATTGTGAATGTGCTCTTCTGCATAGTAAATAGCAAATGCTTGTGGAATCTTTGGGTGCAGGCACATTTTAGGCCCCGTAGGCTTTGGGTTGAGGGCTGACTAGAAACATTTTCCTCTTACTCTAAATCTGTGGTAGTTGTGATAAAACAAAACAAAACAAAACCATCCAGTTGTTGCCTTGATGGCATTTTCTATTTAACTATTTCATACCTCTTGGGGGTTATATTTATGTTTAAAACATATTCTCCACCTAGCTGGTGTTACATCATCAGTTCATTATATTGGGTCCAGCTGTCTGAATGCTCCTGCAGGCTTCTATATAGTTCCTCTTTAGCATTAAGTATCTAGGGTTATCAAATCCAGAATTTAGTCTTTTGGTTCAAGAGAAGCTAAGCCTACACCATCCTTCACTAAAATAGAGACCACTGGTAGCCAGTCATATTCAGAGACAAAGAACATTATTTTAGTCACTAATCTGACCAGTGGAGGGCAAAATTTACCAAGTTAGTTGTTACCAAGAAATGGGGTTTCAGAGAAGAATGGAAAAGTGGTCCTGCTTATAAGGATTAGAAGTGAGTCATTGCTAGGCCCCAAATGAAGGCATTTCTGGAATCCATCAGAAGAAGCAGGATGGCTGACATCAGGATTTTGCAGTGTGTGTGTCAGGGAATTCATAAAAATCCAGATTTTCTCTTTAGTAATTGAGACAAGCCAGGTGAATAGAGACATTTTATTGGAGCCTCACAATTAAAAAAGACCAACCCAGAGCTGGTCAGTATTTCCTATCAACAATAAGACATTTATTACTGTGATCATTACATTAGAGCTAACTAATCATTAGGCTAACAGGATGGGATAAGCTGCACTTTCTAGAGCTGTTCAGCTGCTGCAGAAAAAACACCTGTTGAGGCTAAACTGGTGCCAGCATCTTACAGAGGTATATGGGCAAGCTGCAGATGTCATTGTTGACATGGTTCCAGCCACCATCTAGAGCCCATTATGGATGTGGTCCTCACTTCCACCAGAGAACCTCCGTAATCTGTGGGAATCAATTATACACACAAGTCTGTGGTGTCCAGGGAAGTGAGGAACCCCCCACAGATACTGGCAGATTCAAATTTTACCTACACTGCTAGGCTTCCAGGAGTAGGTTAAGAATTCTTGGATGAGACGAATTTATAGTTTTGAAAAGTTATAAGGTTATCTCTTTATATAGCACTTTATTCACCATGATAACAGACTGATTAAGAACATTGTCTTTGGAGATGCCATTGGATGGCCCGAAATTTATCTCTCCACTTACTAATTCTGTGAGTTTGTACAAATTACCTAACTTCTTAAAATATTCAAATATTTTATTCCTTAAAATAGTTATCTGAAGCAGATATTATTATCATACCCTGTTACAGATGAGGAAACTGAGAC